ACGATTTCAAGATATTTCTTATTTCTAGTTAAAAACAATATTTCATAAATTACTAATAATAGTAATTTCTGCGAGTGAACCACCTACTCCGATAAATCATCGAAACGAGAGCGCATTGGCTCACTCGTCTCACCCATTAGTCATGAACATGTACGCAGTTACGAAATTAGACTAGGTAATAGACGAAGAACAGTGTCAACAACGGTGTTCTGCAATTACAACGAGCGCATATCGCTATAACAATTATATACGAGATGATGGACTACCTTTTGCCATGGATGCGCCTTAATTTGTGGGAATTTGAACTCGGTGTAATTGGGGTTCATCTCACGTATCTGGTCACGTGTCGGGGTGCCGAGCACCTTGATGATCTCGACCAATTGATCCACTCCACTGTCCCCTGGGAATATCGGTTGGCCGAGCAATAATTCTGCCACTACGCAACCTGCGCTCCAAACATCTGTAAACCGGATAACACGCGTTAATTTCGAAATTACGAAAGTGGAGGGGGAAAAAAAAATTGAAAAGATAAATTTTTAACAATCTCTTTATCACAATAAATTTATAATCGTAATAAAAATTTAATCAAATTCGATTAATAAACATACCGATTTTTGTAGTATAATCAATAGCACCAAAGATCAATTCGGGCGCGCGATAGTAACGACTACAGATGTAAGACACATTGGGCTCCCCTTTGACCAGATGTTTGGCGGAACCAAAATCACAGAGCTTAAGAACGCCGGATTCCGGGTCCAGAAGAAGATTTTGCGGTTTGATATCCCTGTGGCAGATTCCCAGCGAGTGGATATACGCCAGAGAACGGAATAATTGATACATATACAGCTGAAACGAGATACAGATGTATCGGAATTGGAATCGCTAATCGAACCGAATCACGAAAAATTCTCGTTCTACTTCGGGGATCTAAACGGTACGTATGAATCATTAACGAATAATCGTTCGATATACGATTGTATGATGAAGTTTATACGATTTTCGTATAGAGAGGCGATTCTTTAACCCTTTGGTCTCCAACAGTGACTCTCTCAACAGTGACCAACTGAGATTGTTATATTTGATCTTTTTAGAATATCGCTTCGTAAAAATAGATTCTTAAGCTCTTTATACGTATAATCTTATCTTATGAGTAATTATCTTATGGTAATCTTATGAGAACGCCGGGGTCTGAGTCTGGATCGACCGAGCGAAATAGGCGTGGAGTGCAAAGGGTTAAATGCAGAGGCAAAGAATGTAAGGACTTACCTTAATGAAATTAATCGGTATGGTCTGCTTGCTCTTGTTATAATGCCGAGCAACTTTATACACAGTTTCAGGTATGTATTCCAGCACTAGGTTCAAATAAACCTCGTCCTTCTAAAAGAAATCCGCGGAAGATATGGTTAATAGAGATGTTAACAGAGATCGATACACGTACGTGATCAGATAGATGTGCCGTCTCAAAGGCGACTCTAAAGCGCAAAATTGACGTCTAGTTTAAATCTAGTTTTGTTCACGCGCCAAGTACCTTTGAGCCACACACATACACGCGCACACGCACGCACACACACGCAATTCCAAAAGATTATTTTCTATAACTAGCCAAGCTGCATCAGCTACTACAATTTGAATAAAAAAATACGATCATTCAAGGCTATCGAAATACATTGCACGCTACTATGGAGGTTAAAAAAGAAAAAAGGAAAGAAAGAAAAGAGAGAGAGAGAGAGAGAGAGAGAGAGAGAGAGAAAATCAGAGTATGATAAATTTTTTTTGAAGTGGAGTGAACTTCTAATATGATTCGTGACGAGAGCAAGTGACCTTGAGTAAACAAGGATCTTTCACTCGGACTATAAATAACGGATTTAGCGTTCTCTACGTCGTCCACGCACAATTGGAATAACGAAACGCGTATCGATTTTTTTTTTTCTTCGTTTCTTTAATCTGCCTATATTTAAGCGGGATTGCCTAAATTTTCTCGAAAAAAGGATCTCTCCGTGAAAACTACTGGATACTCGCTTATGTTCACTTACGTCCACATGAAAAACTGGATTAGTTGCGTTTAAGATGTTCTACAAAATAACACAACGTCGCATGCATTAAACAACGAATACTAGGCGTTTATTTAGAAACTTGTGTATCATTCGACAGAAATCAGAAGTATCGCTGCTATTACATATATATAATATATATATATATATATATCTTGATCAAAAAATCTTGAAAAAAAAAAAAAAGGTAGAAAAGAAAGAAGAAAGAAAGAATCGAGATAATTTACGTAACGTAATAAAAGATATCTAATTTGCGTAACGTAAAAGGGGGAAAAGAAAAAAAAAAAAAAAAATTTTCATAAATCATAATTTTGTACGTTCAAAATTTCAATCGAGTGTACGAAAAATAGGAAACAATGGAAATGAATAATTACCTTATCACCACTAGAATAGAAGAAATATTTCAGTTTCACGATGTTACAATGCTCGAGGCGCCGCATGATTTGCAATTCTCTGTTCTATAAATAAAAGGAAAAGAAAATTCGATTAATGCGTACGATTCGTGTTTATTCCATACGCGAATACGGTGACATTTTGTCGTATTATGCTCACGATAAGTTCGTTCGATACATTCTCGAGAGTTGATTAAAATTTGGGCATTTTTCAAAACGCTTTATCGAGATGAATCGACGATACGTGATTTTTTTCTCTCACCTTAAATCGTTTGTCTTGAAGAACTTTCTTGATGGCGACCAGTTCTTCCGTGTCGCATAATTTCGCTAGATATACAACGCCGAAGCTGCCGTTACCGATTACTTTAGTGTCTGTATAGGAGATCTCTTGGGGACGATCTGGACCAGCACCAGGTGTAGCCACCACGGTTGTAACTTTGTTGCCATCTCTATCTGCATTATACATCACACCGCCCATAGAAACAATCGAAAACCATAATGTAGAAAGGTAGAAGAAAGATACAGTGCGATTGTAGAGAGACGTAGCACAAAACATAATAAAGTAATTTTATTCTACGAAGCAATGCCGAGTTATCAAGGTTACGTTAAATAATCGATCGGATGGATGTGCGATGGATTGTTTAACGTTATCCGTTGTCGTTATAGAAAAAAATTTATTCGTTAATTATACTTGATTCCGATGATTTCGGGATCGATTATCAAATCAAATTTTAACAGTGCAGAGACAATTGAAATGCAAATCGTAAAACAGCCGCATCGTAAGCAATTAAATTTTAATCGAAATACGTAAAGCGTATACAATACAATTGGAAAATTGAAAAAAATTTTAGAAAAGTGGAAAACAAAGTTGGAAAAAAAAAAAAAAAAAAAAAGAACTCTCGCAAGTCTAAAGAGAATCATAGAGAATTTGAAATATTGCGATTTATTTTTTCGATTATTGAATGAAATTTAAATATTTTATAAACGAGAAATGTAAAATATAAATACCTAATATCTTTGTACATGACGTATCTCTTACATAACTATTATTGAGAATTGAATAAGAATAGGAAAATAAGAAAATTTATAATGATTTTAACATATGCTTCGTATATATATTTGATTTGGTCAAAAAATAATCTCGAAATTCGAAAACTTCTTTTCCAATAAAGATGATGAGAGAGAGAGAGAGAGAGAGAGAGAGAAACTACAAGAAAAAAGTCTTCTAACTATTTGTAACGCAGCGAGAAGTTAGAAGTCGGTAAATGAGAAAACGATAAAAATAAGAATTAAAAAAAAAAAAATCGATGATTTCTTTAAAAATATATCTAATCAGATGTACAATCGTCCCCGAAATCGAAATGTAATATAAGATTCTAAAATAATGCTATTTTTTTTATATTCGTTCGAATGATTTTTCATACTTGACTATATAATAACATAGAAAAAAAAAAAAAAAAAAAAAAACTCTTGGAAGAAGAAATAAAATCCAACCAAAGATTCCTTCGAGCAGAATGGATGAGTGAATCGAATGAACGAAAGAAGAAGAAAAAAAAAAAAAGAAAAAGAAAAGAAGAAACATCGATTTGGCCACGAATCGCAGGAATATTAGAGTGAATAATTATGAAGAACGAAATTACAAGACATTGTTACGGTTTACACGATCGTATCGATCCTTACGACTGTCGGATTGTCAGCGGGCGAGAAGGATAACCTTGATAAGATACTACGACTAATAGATAATGCGATGTGCACGTTTGCGGACCGGTTCTCCTCTCATAGCTCGAACCATAGCTGTAAAATAGCATCGCGGCGCATAAATGAATCGGACGGGGAAATCGGGGATCGAGAATTGGCAGCCGGCAATATATCGGAAATCCGATCAAATTGTTACGCGATCGCGTTTACCGTCATCGGATGAATCGAAACGTGCGCAGCCAACGATAAGATGCCACGTGGACCATGCTTTACTTCTTGACATTTCGCCAACATTTTTCTCTCCGGTTAACCTTTTCCTCTTCCGTTACCGTTACTTCTTTCTCCTCCCCCGACAACAGTATCATTTCTTCAAGTTTCGATTTAGAGTGAACGTGAACGCGCGGCGGATCGATCGCGTTTCTCCTTTGTTTATTCGCCGTTTAATACAGCAACAATTTCAATGCAAATGCCTCGAATCGATGAAGAAATTTCAGGTCGAAACGGGTTTCCTTTATTACGCAACGCGCGAGTAATCGGCGTAAGGATTATAATCGTACAGATTTTCCTTCCGGCAATTTATTTTTCACAACGTGATACGAGGAAAATACCAACAATTTTACACATCTCTTGACTCGAATATCGATCGACTCTCTTTAACCCTTACGAGCGCCGACTATAGTCAACGAAAAGACTCAACTGTAGCGTGTCTCTCGATTCTAATGACCCGTATTCGATTAATCTTACTAAAAATATATTTTGCACGTCGAAACATGTTTCCTCTGCTCTTTCCATTCCAGTATTTCTACAAAAGTATCGTGATAAAAAATCTTTTTTTATTTTTAACAACCGTTTCTTAAACAACAAATCTACTTATTTTCATATTATTTCTCCTATAATACGCGATTGTTGCTCAAAGAAAATGTGGATGCAAGAGGCAATCTCTTTCGAAAGACTCGAATTTATTTCGAAGCGGTCGCATCGAACTTTCAATTAAACTTGTCCACGTTGCAAACAGGCCGAAGAAGAGCGTGGAATCGAAGAGGCGCGAATATTGTTGGCCCGAGAATAGCGAGGGACGCTCGTATGCGAGAATCAATCCGTGAGGATGGAAAAGAGAGCGGAAGAGGAATATTTTTGTTCGAGAGAAGGACGAGGGGAGGGGTTTTCTGAAACTAGTCGGACTACGTGCTCCCTATTTTCCGTATAGAGATGTAAAAGTGGGTCAAGCGGTGGCGATCTCTGGTCGCATCGGAGCCAGGTGGTAAATCCAGCATGCGACAAAAAAGTGCAACGGCGGAACCAAGAGGCCTGGATGCACGTCACTCCTCCTCCCTTTTGCCGCGTTAAGCGGACGATTCGCCACCTTTTTTCTACCCGATCGAGAAATCACCTATCGCGTGACATTTTTTACCTACGGTTCAACGATATCGTTCCAAGCCATTTCACCGTTCCTTTTTCAAATCGAGATTTCGATCTTTAATCAAAGCAATACGATTCGAACATTTTAACTAATCTTAGGATTCAACCATTCGTACCTGATCGAACAACATTGTCTCTAAATTACAATTATAGCATGGCGTAGTTTTTAAAAAAACGCTAAAAACGATTTTCATATAATTTGAAATATTCGTAAAGACTTGCGCGAGAAACTTTTCTACTTTTCGATCTTCTTCAATTGCTTATTATATAATTTAAATGACATTATACGGAGAATATTTTCGACATAAATCTTTTCCATCGAAAAATGTTACTTGGATCGACCAAGTTGATGCAATTTGCGCATTGTATAAATATTTAAAAAGTTTTATTAAGCAGTAAATCTGATCGATTCCAAGTTCGATACTTCGGACAAATCTCATCTTTGTAAATGACAATCTCGAATTTGTTGTTTCGCCATTTTGTTTAATTTCGAGAAGCACACCGGCCAACAACAAATTGAAATTTCCCTCCCATTTTCTATGCCTTTTTTTCTTCCTCTTCTTTTCTTATAACGTCAAACTGACGTAGCAACCTCTTAACCGTATGAAAAATAATTTCTGTGGGACGTACACAACAAAAATAAATATGAATAACAAGGGATAAATGTCAGTGGGTCGATGTATTATTTCTCGTTCACCAGTTCTTCTTTCTTTGCTGTCTCGCATTTCTAACCTTTCCCGCTCGAATGGCACACCATTTTATATAAAAATTGGATCAAACGTTTCCTTTAACGAACAACTCTTTACATCGAATACTTTTATCCCGATCGATCTTTTCCATCTTCGAATACTCCTGCGCCTGACTTCGACGATTGAGTCGAAAAATAAATAAATAAATAAATAAAATGCACAAGAATTTCGCATCTCGTTTTGAAAATTAAAAACTCACGTGATTATAGATGGATAGATTCTGTGTACGAAGAAGCAAGAATAACCGAACGGTGAATGAATAGTCGAATATTTTGATTTCGTTATGGTCGAAGATATTTCGAGTACAATGTACGCATCTAGATTAAAACGCGGTCAAACTTGGTGGAAACGGTGAATAAATAACGCCCACGAATTCGAGCGTCCAAACCGAACGGATCTAAATCTAAATTTCAAACAGTAAACTAAATGATTCGAGATGAAACTGCAACAGATCTATCTAAGAAATCGGAAATATTTGACGAAAAATATATATATATACGTATAGGTAGTGGTATTTCGCCACGTTCACGCGATCACGTTGGAAGAAGCGAGGCCAATTCTTGGAACAACGATTCTTCTTTCCAATCTGAAACCAGTCAACTTACGTCTCCTGTTCTTCAGACGGCGCAGGAATTTGTAGAATTTTTTGTACGCGGTGTTCGCCTCCTTGCTACTCAGCTCCATAGCGCTCTTCGCCCTTTCATGCTTCTGCTGCCCGGATGGACAGAATTTTGGATATCGCCAGTGTTGGCACGGTTCTGACCAGTCCAACGTGGCAGCCGGTGCCATTGCGATCTTCCTTATTTTTCGAAGGTAACTTCGAATCACCGGTAAAAGGAGAAAAACAGAGAGAGACAACGATATCACTTGATTCCGCGTGCAAAGATTTAGCCCAACGCTGTGGCCAAGCGGTCGTCGATTCTCGTTAAATTTCGCTTAAAGTCTGCAGCGTTGTACAGTTTACAAATATTCGCAGACTTGGAAACGATTTGGAAGGTGACCAGCTACTAATATTAACATCGTGTCAAGGACAACGACGTCGGTCACAATCGAGTTCACCGTGTATCTTTTATCACGGTTCGACGTGAGGAGAGAGGAAGGGCCCTTTGATGATTCGAAACACGATTCTCACTGTAATCACACGGTTAAAACCGAATTACCGGTTCTCGGCTTACGTGCCGTGGTCACGCGATCGCACCATTGTTTCTCGTCCGTCGTCGAGACAACGGGATAAGATTCGACCAACGATATCGAGCAACGATCCGAATAGATTTAACGCGTGTATCCTCTCGCGTATCGATTTATTATTATCAATAATACTTCTCACACTTGTTGTCACTCTTTGAATCGATCGAAAAACCGATTTCGGATTTCGACACGCTGGAGTCGATTCGTGGTTTACACTTTCGTTACACAATTTGGATCACGGTTTCGAAACGAAAGCGCGGGCGCGAAACAAAGATCGTTTCGAAAGGTCGAAAACGGATTACTGTATGCCAATATACCGTCGAATGGCGAAATCGCGCGACGATTGTCCCAATGCGTGTCGTCGTTCGCATTCCACCCGGCCACCTCGTCGTCGTCGGAAACGTTCTCGTTCCACGGCGTCTCGGCACGCGACTAAACCGAACGCAGCCACCAATCGCCATTACCCGCGAAACAATCAACGTCCTGGAGGGGGGAGAGACGCCAAAGAGAGGCGCAGAGGGAGGGGGGACGACAGTTTTCTCTCTTGCTCCGCGCTGCATTTCCCACTTTTTCCTCCTTCTTTTTACTGCTGCCACTTTTCACCGTTCGTTCTCCCTCCAAAGTCGCAACCCGTTTAATCTCTCGTATATATTTGATTATCGCAATTTTTTCGTCGTCCCATCGCATCTTGCCACAGATTTTTATATTAAAAAAGATCCTCTTATCGAACGAGAAATTTCATCACCCTGTTACTTACTTTTTTTTTTAATCTAAATTCGATGTATCGGCCTTTTTTTCCCCACTTAGTTTTCGCAAATCCTCCTCCTCCTCCTCCTCCGCTATTCCTATCGCGCGATTAAAACCCGTTTCATTTTATTCCGTTTCACAGATAAGACGATCTCGACGTCTGCAATTATGCAGATTAGATAATCATCGTCGACCAACCAATTTCCTAGAAAGTTGAGTCGAACAATCGAACGGCGATCAATATATAAGTAATCGACGAAAATTATTTCGAATTTTTAGAAAAAAAAAAAAAAAAAAAAA